AAATGCTCAAACTCCTAGGTAGGGTCGCACGGAGATAATTTGTAATGTTAAACCCTGCATTCTACTACATCCTCCGCACGCGGAGCATGTTTTAAAACGGCACTGTATGGTGCACGGGAGCCGCGGGTCGGCCTCCGTGAGTCCGAAGACGGGCCAAGACGTCTTCCAGACGGCCCTCGCGACGCCCCCAAGAAGGGCCCAAGGGGGGCCCAAGGGAGGCCAAAATCGTGGATTCTCCTGCAGTCGATCTTGTTGTTGGTCGCCTCGCCTCTTCGGGCATCCAGCGCTCCAAGACGGTCAAAGAGGCCCCCGAGACCGCCCCAAGACGGCCCAGAAGGCTCCCAACAAGGTCCCAATGCGGCCCAAGAGGGGCCCCAAGACGACCTGGCAGGCCCCCAAGACGGCCCAAGAGGCCTCCAAGAGGGGCCCACGAGGGGGAAAGCAAGGGGGCCTCCTGCAAAGAATGCCACCACGACCCCAAAGATGCCCTCAATTACGCTACCGAGGAACCACACATACTTAACTTAAATATTGAGTGTTTGCTTAAGTTTATAATATATGTGCAAGTCTGCGTTCTCAGCCCTCGTCGCGAATGTTCCCCTATGTGTCATCCAACGCCATATTGCTTGAACCTCCTCCCTCTTCCTAGCCTTCTATCCTCCGTCGAGGACAGATTCGAGCCAGCCAGCGGCCGCGGTGAGGGACCACCCCCTGCGCACCCCCAGTGGTGTCGAGAAAATGCCGCGCCTGACATGCCCTGGACGACCGTCGTGCATAGCGGCCGCGCTGAGGGACCACCCCCTGCGCAGCCTCTATGGTGTCGAGAAAGTGCCACGCCTGCTATGCCCTGGACGACCGTCGTGCATAGCGGCCGCGCTGAGGGACCACCCTCTGCGCACCTCCTGTGGTGTCGAGAAAGTGCCACTCCTGCCACGATCTGCGAGCGTGTCACGGATAGAGGCCGCGCTGAGGGACCACCCTCTGCGCACCCCCTGTGGCGTCGAGCAAGTGCCACTCATGCCACGATCTGCGAGCGTGTCACGGATACAGGCCGCGCTGAGGGACCACCACCCTCTGCGCACCCCCTGTGGTGTCGAGAAAGTGCCACTCCTGCCACGATCTGCGAGCGTGTCACGGATAGAGGCCGCGGTGAGGGACCACCCTCTGCGCACCCCCTGTGGTGTCGAGAACGTGCCACTCCTGCCACGATCTGCGAGCGTGTCACGGATAGAGGCCGCACTGAGGGACCACCCTCTGCGCACCCCCTGTGGTGTCGAGAAAGTGCCACTCCTGCCACGATATGCGAGCGTGTCACGGATAGAGGCCCCGCTGAGGGACCACCTTCTGCGCACCCCCTGTGGTGTCGAGAGAGTGCCACTCCTGCCGCGATCTGCGAGCGTGTCACGGATAGAGGCCGCGCTGAGGGACCACCCTCTGCGCACCCCCTGTGGCGTCGAGAAAGTGCCACTCCCGCCACAATCTGCGAGCGTGTCACGGATAGAGGCCGCGCTGAGGGACCACCCTCTGCGCACCCCCTGTGGTGTCGAGAACGTGCCACTCCTGCCACGACCTGCGAGCGTGTCACGGATAGAGGCCGCGCTGAGGGACCACCCTCTGCGCACCCCCTGTGGTGTCGAGACAGTGCCACTCCTGCCAAGATCTGCGAGCGTGTCACGGATAGAGGCCGCGCTGAGGGACCACCCTCTGCGCACCCCCTGTGGTGTCGAGCAAGTGCCACTCATGCAACGATCTGCGAACGTGTCACGGATAGAGGCCGCGCTGAGGGACCACCCTCTGCGCACCCCCTGTGGTGTCGAGAAAGTGCCACTCCTGCCACGATCTGCGAGCGTGTCACTGATAGAGGCCGCGCTGGGGGGGGGCACCCTCTGCGCACCCCCTGTGGCGTCGAGAAAGTGCCACTCCTGCCACGATCTGCGAGCGTGTCACGGATAGAGGCCGCGCTGAGGGACCACCCTCTGCGCACCCCCTGTGGTGTCGAGAAAGTGCCACGCCTGCCACGATCTGCGAGCGTGTCACGGATAGAGGCCGCGCTGAGGGACCACCCTCTGCGCACCCCCATGTGGCGTCGAGAAAGTGTCACTCCTGCCACGATCTGCGAGAGTGTCACGGATAGAGGCCGCGCTGAGGGACCACCCTCTGCGCACCCCCTGTGGCGTCGAGAAAGTGCCACTCCTGCCACGATCTGCGAGCGTGTCACGGATAGAAGCCGCGCTGAGGGACCACCTATGCGCACCCCTGTGGCGTCGGGGAGGTGCCACCCCCTGCCACGATCTGCGAGCCGTGTCACGGATAGAGGCCCCGCTCGAGGGACCACCCTCTGCCGCACCCCTGATGGGTCGAGGGGACAGTGCCACTCCTGCCACGATCTGCGAGCGTGTCACGGATAGAGGCCGCGCTGTGGGACCACCCTCTGCGCACCCCCTGTGGTGTCGAGAAAATGCCACTCCTGCCACGATCTGCGAGCGTGTCACGGATAGAGGCCGCGCTGAGGGACCACCCTCTGCGCACCCCCTGTGGTGTCGAGAAAAGGCCACGCCTGCCACGATCTGCGAGCGTGTCACGGATAAAGGCCGCGCTGAAGGACCACCCTCTGCGCACCCCCACCCCCTGTGGCGTCGAAGGAATGCCCTATGTGGTATGCTATGCTGTGCTGTGGTGTGCTGTGCTGCTGTGCGGTGAGCTGTGCTGTGCCGTGCCGTGCCGTGCCGTGCTGTGCTGTGCTGTGCTGTGCGAGAAGGAGAAGGGGAGGGGGTAGGTGTGAGACGCGGGTGCGGCGCGGCAGGGAAGAAAACCAGAACCCCACGAAACATGTGGGGAAAAAAACCCAGAAGCACCCACAAAACACAAAGAGGCCCCGAAAAGGCTGCAAGGAAGCCTCCAAGAGGCCCACCCAGATTGATTGATTGATTGGGCAGCTGATGGCGGCAGCTGTGGCTCTGTGACTGACGACTCCAGACCTGCAGCCTGCGCTGAAAACATTGAACGCTGCGTACATCACTGGCACGTCCAAGAGGAGGGAGGGGAGGAGGAAGAGGGGACTCTTGGGGCCCCCAAGAGGCCCCAAGAGTCCCCTCAAGAGGCTTCCAAGAGGCCCCCGAGAGGCAACCGAAGAGAGCCCGACAGGCATCCAAGAGGCATCTGGCCCAAACCCAGGCACGGTGGCGGGATGGAACGGAAGCCACGACAAGACACTTTGAAACAAATCTGCTTAAAGACATGCAGCGCATTTGCACCCATGCGTGAATACGAAAATACATAAACCTAATACAACAGCATGACCTTAGGAAAATAAGGCTGATCGGGCGTGCCAGGCACAAGAAAACAAAAGTCGTCGGGAGAGACAGCAGAGTAGAGCGCATGATGAGCAGCTTCAGGGAGCAACAAGGAAAGGCAAATAAAGACGACGACGCGACGACGACCATGAGGACAACGACGAGAACGACGAGAACGGCGACGACAGCACCGAGAGCGACGTTAAGGAGGAGGAGGACGACGACAACGCCAATGACAGCTACAACGACGACAACGACAACGGCAGTGACGGCGGTGACGGCGATGGTGACGGCGGAGCGGCCGCGACGACGGCAGCGACGACGATAGCAGATGGCAAAAGGCGCAAACATCCAGAAACGAAGGTCCGCGCAGACGTCTTGGATCGGCGCTGGACCGCCCTCCCTGGCGCGCGAAGCGCGCTGGGGGCGGCGCCAGAGGCGCCACCTGAGGGGTCCGGCACCGATCCAAGAAAACCCGCGCGAGTCTCCGAAGAGCATGTCTATGACGCTTTGCTTGGGACATCTTCGCCGTCGTCGTCGCCGCCGCTGCCGCCGTCACTGTCGCCGTCACCGCCGTTCCCAGACATCCAGCTGCTCCTCCACTTTTTTCGATGCGTGGGCCCTGGAGATCTGGACCACTTCCCTGGGGTCAGTTTTTCGTTCTGAATCCTTGCTTGACGGCCCCGAGGACTGGCAAGGGCCCCCGCAGGCCGAAAACAGCCCAAAACCGCCCGCTCCAATGTTGGGAGCGTCGGATCTCTGGGTTGTCATCGTTGTCGCTGTCATTGTCGTCCTCGGTGCCGTCGGCGCTGGCTCTAGGTCGGGCATGTCCTCCTACAGGCGGCTTTGGGAAGAAACCTTCAAAATAGTCCAACAAATAGTCAAAAAAACACAACAAAAAACACAACAACAAAAAAAACAAAACAAAAACAAACCAAAACAACAACAACAACAACAACAACAACAACAACAACAACAACAACAACAACAACAACAACAACAACAACAGCAACAACAACAACAACACAACACGACCAATCGTCTCCTTACCATTTAAACCATTCCTGAATATTCCTCCTGTTGAGGGACGTGCCCGACTCAACGCTGGCTTCTCCCTTCCTCGAGGCGGCCCCGACGTCGCTGCCGCCATCTGCGCCGCCGCCGAGGGGGCCGCCGAGGGGCCTCCCGAGGGGCCGCCGAGGGGGCCGCCGAGGGGGCCGCCGAGGGGGCCCCCGAGGGGCCGCCAAGGGGGCCGCCGAAGGGCCGCCGAGGGGCCGCCGCGGCCCGCGCCGCCGCCGCCCTGCCCTCCTCCTCCTCCTCCTCCTCCTCCTCCTCCTCCTCCTCCTCTCCCCTCCCTCCCCTCTCCCATCGTCGTGCTTCCCCTCCTCCTCCTCCTCCTCCTCCTCCTCCTCATCCTCCTTCCTCTCCTCCTCCTCCTTCCTCATCCTCCTCCTTCGCTTCCTCCTCTCCCCTCCTCCGCTCCTCCCTCCTCTCCTCCCCTCCTCCTCGTCGTGCTTCCCCTCCTCCTCCTCCTCGTCCTCCTCCTCCTCCCCTCATACTCCTCTCCCATCCTCCCTCCTCCTCCTCCTCCTCCTCATCCTCCTCTCCTCCTATTCCTCCTACTCATCCTACTCCTCCTCATCCTCCTCTCCTCCTCCTCCTTTTCTTCTGTTCCCACCCCACTTTTTCCCCCCCCCCCTCCTCCTCCTCCTCGTGGGGGCTGGGCGGAGCGGCTGCGCAGCCATCCTCGGAAAGGAGATCGGGTCCGGCGGCAGCGCCCACCGCGGCATGGCCGCGAGGAGCGCCAGGGCCTGCTCCCAGGCCTGGCGCCCGAGCAGTCGAGCAGAGGAGGGGAGATATACAAAGGGCAGTCGAGCAGCCCCCTTTCCCCCCAGGGGAGGAAAGGGAGGAGGAGGAGGAGGAGCAGGAGACCAGGAGGAGGAGGAGGAGGAGGAGGAGGAGGAGGAGGAGGAGAAGACCAGGAGGAGGAGGAGGAGGAGGAGGAGGACGAGAGGGAGGAGGAGGAAGGATGAGGAGGAGGAGGAGGAGGAGGAGGAGGAGGGAGGAGCAGACCATGGAGGACGGAGTGATGAGTAAGAGGAGGAGGATGAGGAGGAGGAGGAGGAGGAGGAGAGGAGGAGGAGGAGGAGGAGGGAGGAGGGAAGAGGAGGAGGATGAGGAGGAGGAGGGGAGAGGAGAGGAGGAGAAGGAGGCGGGAGGAGGAGGAGGAGAGGAGAGAGAGGAGGAGGAGAGTAGGAGGAGAGGAGGAAGAAGGCGGAGGGTAGAACATCGGGAGCGGCAAAGCAGGAGGAGGAGGAGGAGAGGAGGAGGAGGACGAGGAGGAATTAGGAGGAGCAAAGAGGAGGGAGGAGGAGGAGGCAGGAAGGGGAGAAGGAGGGAGGGAGGAAGGGAGGAGAGGAACGATCTCCAAATACGCCCCGGTGACTGCAATGGATGAACCTAACAAACATAAACGATCGAAGGTCCGCGCGGATCTCTTGGATCGGCGGCGCCAATGGCGCTCCCACGCCTTGCAAACCTGAGCTGGATCGAACCGCGAACTCGAATCGGGTCGGAAACGGATCAGGGCCACGCCTTGACTCGGCGCGAAATCGGATCGGGATCGGATCGCTTGGGATCGCGGATCGGGCTCGGCTCCCGCAGGCTGGAGAGGGACCCGGTCCATGCCGGATCGGGTCGGATCGAGATAGGACTCGAAGCTTGGGGATTGGGTCGCATCAAATTGGACCGCACGCAGCCCTGCCTGGCGGGGGACGAGATGTCCCTCTTTACGCTGGCGCCCACCACTTCCTCCGCCAGCTCTTCGGCAACCTCCTGCCTCCACATCCTCCTCCTCCTCCTCATCCTCCTCCCCCTCCCATCATCACCCTCCTCCTCTCCTCCCCCTCCTCCTCCCCCTCCTCCTCCTCCTCCTCCTCCTCCTCCTCCTCCGCCTCCCCCCCTCCTCCTCCTCCTCTTCCTCCTCCTCATCCTCCTCATCATCATCATCAATCATCATCTCATCATATCTCATCATCATCATCATCATCATCATCATCATCAGCATCATCATCATCATCATCATCATCATCAGCATCATAATCATCCTCATCATCCTCATCATTATCATCATCAGCATCAGCATCAGCATCAGCATCATCATCATCATCACCACCACCACCACCACCACCATCATCATCATCATCATCATCATCATCATCATCATCATCATCATTGTCATCGTCATCGTCATCAGCATCATCACCGCCAGCAGCAGCAGCACCACCACCATCACCATCTCCATCACCATCACCATCACCATCACCATCACATCATCGTCATCATCATCATCATCATCGTCATCATCATCGTCATCATCATCATCATCATCATCATCATCATCATCATCAGCATCAGCATCTTCATCAGCAGCATCAGCATCAGCATCAGCAGCAGCATCAGCCTCATCATCAGCATCATCATCAGCATCAGCATCCGCATCAGCATCATCACCATCATCAGCAGCATCAGCATCAGCATCATCATCACCACCACCACCACCACCACCATCATCATCATCAACAGCATGATAGTCATCACTATCATCATCAGCAGCATCAGCAGCATCAGCATCCGCATCAGCATAATCATCATACCCAGCATCATCACCATCACATCATCATCATCATCATCATCATCATCATCATCATCATCATCATCATCATCATCATCATCATCATCATCATCATCATGATCATCATCGTCGTCACCATCACATCACCTCATCATCATCACCACCATAAGCAGCATCAGCATCATCATAATCAGAATTACTGTCATCATCATCATCGTCATCATCATCGGCATCGTCAATTGCATCCTCATCCTGATCCTCATCATCAGCAGTTTCATCATGACCATCATCATCATCACCATCATCATCACCATCATCATCATCATCGTCATCAGCATCAGTGTAATCATCAGCATGATCGCCCCTGGCATCGGCAACACCACCACCACCACCACCATCATCATCATCATCATCATCAGCATCATCATCACGATCATCGTCACTATCATCGCCTGAATCATCGTCATCATCACCATCATCGCCGCCGTCACCACCATCTTCATCATAAGTATCGTCGTCATCAGCATCGGCATCGTTATCATCACCGTAATCAGTATCGTTAACATCATCATTGTTGAAATCATCATTAGCAATAGCGTCTTCATCACCACCGTCATCATCACCATCATCAGTATCATACGCATCATCAGCATCATTAGCATTATGAGCATCATCAGCAGCATCATCATCACCATCAGCATCGTTGTCATCATCGTCATCATCAGATCTATCAGTATCATCAACATCGACATCGTCATCGTCCTCGCCATCATCTAGAACACCGCCACCACCACCACCAGCTTCATCAGAATCATCATCATAAGCATCAGCATCATCATCACCATCATCAGCAGCATCATCATCACCATCATCATCAGCAGCATCGTTGTCATCATCATCACCATCATCAGCAGCAGCATCATCATCACCATTGTCATCAGCAGTATCATCATCTTCATCATCGTCGTTATCGTCATCTGCATCAGCATCAGCATCATCATCACCATCGTCATCAGCAGCATCATCACCACCACCACCACCATCATCATCAACAGCATCATCATCAGCATCATCGTCATTCTCAAATCATAGCCATTACCATCATCATCATCATCATCATCATCATCATCATCATCATCATCATCATCATCATCATCATCATCATTAGCATCATCAGCAGCATCATCATCATCCTCATCCCCATGCTCATCCCCATCCTCATCCTCATCCTCACCCTCATCTTAACCCTCATTCCACCTCATTCTTCCTTCTCCTCCACCCGCTCCGTCATCCACCTCCACCAGTGGTTACCTCCTCATCCTCCTCTTCCCCTCATCTTTCTCTTCCTCCTCCTCCTCCTCCTCCTCCTCCTCCTCCTCCTCCTCCTCCTCCTCCTCCTCCCTCTGGACTGGCGCATTTCCGCCCCGGGCCTCTCCCCTGGCACAGGCGCTGATGACCGTGTTGCACGAGACGACGTCCTACGGGAGCGCCGGGCGCGATAGGGGGGGAGAGGGGAGGCGGAAGGGAGAGGAGGAGGTGGAGGCACGGCGAGGAAAGGTAGCGCGGGGGAGGAGGGACGACGGGAGGGAGGAGGGAGGAGGGGCGGGGGGACAGGGAGGAAAGAGAGCAGGGGGAGGAAAGGGAGGAGGGGGAGGAGGAAGGAGGGAGGGAGGGGGAGAGAGGGAGGAGGAGAGAGGAGCACAATGAGAGAGATGAAAGAGCATGAGGGAGAGGGAGGAAGAGAAGGAGGAGGGAAGGGGATGGAGGAAGGAGGAGCTTCTGTATTGCCCATAGGAAGAGGGCAGACAAAAAAGACCAATGTTAAATTGGAAATCTACCCTGTCACCGCTCAGGGTTCACTCGAGTTTTCAAGCTAACATGGCGCGTTTGCTACTCTGGACGATGCAAAATGCATTATACGCGCACGCAGGCGGGTGATCATGGTCAACCGCGCGCGTTCGCACGCGCGGGGGGTCTGTCGTGCCAACAGTAAAATACACACAAAAGAACCCCTGTAAACTAGGATATGGGATCGGCCACCGCTAAGGGGCCCCTTGAGTTATCAAGCCAACATGGCTACTTTTCAATTCTAAACAATACATAATGCTCTAAGCGCGCACGCAGGTGGATGACCATGGTTACCCGCGCGCGTTCGCGCGCGCGAGGCGTCCTGTCTTGCTAACAGTAGAGGGCGCTCAAAAGGACCCATGTTAACTTGGAAATCCAATCGGTCACCGCTGTGGGTTCACTTGAGTTCCCAAGCCAAGATGGCAACTACCCTACTTTAAACATTACATCATGAACCTTCTACGCGCGCACGCAGGCGGGTGATCATGGTCACCCGCGCGCGCTCGCGCGCGTGGAGCTTTCTGTATTGCCCATGGTAGAGAGCATACAGAAAGACTCATGTTAACTTGGAAATCCAACTGGTCACCCGTAAGAACTCGCTTGACTTCCCAGGCCAGCATGGCGATTTCTCTATTCTTCACGGTACGGGATGCTCGATGCGCGCACGCAGGCGGGTGGGCATAGTCACCCGCGCGCGCTCGCGCGCGTGAGGCTTTCTGAGCACCCTGCGCATCCTGAGCATCCTGGCTTGACGCCTCATCATCCTCATGCTTGTCATCAGCATCATCACCATCGCCATTCACATTATTACCCTCTCCCGGCTATCATCCTGGAACTGGCCGTAATCATCCGTCTCCCCCCTTTGCTCATCCTCCATCACAAGATCAGCATTCCTGTCATCCACTCAATGATTGGCATCATCCCCTTGATCCTACGCCCTCCACGCTCATCCCCCTCCAACTCCTCGTCATCATCATCGGCATCATCATCATCATCAGCAGCAGCATCATCATCAGCATCATCATCATCATCATCATCATCATCCTCATCGTCATCATCATCACCATCACCATCAAGCATCATCAGCATCATCAGCATCATCATCACTGTCATCATCATCACCGTCATCATCAGCAGCAGCATCATCACTACCATAACCAGCATAAGCAACATGGTCATCATCAAAATCATTATCGTCATAATTTATCGTAATCGTTCGCATCGTCGTCATCATCATCAGCAGCATCATCTTTGCCATCACCATCATCATCGTCCTCAGCACCACTATCATCATCGGCGTCGTCATCCTCGAATTGTCATCACAACCGTAAGCACCATTACCACAATCGCCATTGCCGACGTCGTCATCATGATCGACGCCGCCGCCCGCATGATCGCCGTATTCCTCACCACCGACATCGTCATAATCATCAGCAGCATCACCATTAACATTATCATCATCATCAGCATCATCATCATCGCCACCACCACCAGCATCATCACCTTCATCATCAGCAATGCCGTCGACCTCATCATCGCCACGATCACCAGCATCATCATCACCACCATCATCATCGCTACCACCATCAGCATCAGCAGCATCATCATCATACTCATCGTCATCATCATCACCATCACCATCCATCATCAGCATCATCATCATCATCATCATCACCATCACCATCATCATCATCATCATGATCATCATCACCATCATCATCAGCATGAGCATCATCATCATCATCATCATCATCATCATCATCACCGTCATCATCATCACCGTCATCATCAGCAGTAGCATCATCACCACCATAGCCAGCATAAACAACATGATCATCATCAAAATCAGTATCGTCATAATCGTAATCGTTCGCATCGTCGTCGCATCGGCAGCATCGTTACCATCACTATCATCATCGTCATCAGCATCACTATCATCATCGCCGTAACAACCATAAGCCACCATTAACACAATCGCCAGTGCCGACGTGGTCATCACCATCGCCGCCGCCGCCCGCATGCTCGCCGCACTCCTCACCATCAACATCGCCATAATCATCAGCAGCATCACCATCATCATCATCATCATCATCATCATCATCAGCATCATCATCATCGCCACCACCACAACCAGCATCATCATCCCCATCATCATCAACAACGCCGTCGACCTCATCATCGCCACGATCACCAGCATCATCATCACCACCATCACGATCACCACCACCATCAGCATCAGAAGCATCATTATCATCATACTCATCGTCATCATCACCATCATCATACATCATCATCATGATCATCATCATCACCGTCATCATCATCACCGTCATCATCAGCAGCAGCATCATCACCATCATAGCCAGCATCAACAACATGGTCATAATCATAATCATTATCGTCATAATCGTAATCGTTCGCGTCGTCGTCGCATCAGCAGCATCTTTACCATCACCATCATCATCGTCATCAGCATCACTATCATCATCGCCGTCGTCATCCTCGAAGTGTCATCGCAACCATAAGCCACCATCAACACAATCGCCAGTGTCGACGTCATCATCATCGTCATCATCATCATCATCATCATCATCATCATCACCGCCGCCGCCGACATGATCGCCGCATTCCTCACCACCAACATCGTCATAATCATCAGCAGCATCACCATTATCCTCATCATCATCATCATCACCATCATCATCATCATCATCATCATCATCATCATCATCATCATCATCGCCACCACCACCACCAGCATCATCCCCATCATGATCAACGCCGTCAACCTCACCGTCGCCACGATCACCAGCATCATCATCACCACCATCATCAGGCCCACGATCAGCATTAGCAACAGCGTCAGCATCATCATCATCAGCATCATCATCATCATTAAAATCATCGTCATTGTCGTCAGCATCACCGTCATCATCACAATCATCAGCACTACCATCATCATCATCATCATCATCATCATCATCATCATCATCATCATCATCATCATCATCATCATTGTCGTCAACACCATGCCCTCCTCACTCTCCCTGCTCGTCCCTCTTCTAATACTTCCCTGCTCCATCGTTTCTCTGCCATCCCGTTTCCTCCCCTCTCCCTCACTGATCGGTGATGGCTGGATGGTCCCTCTCCATCTCCAGCCTCCTCCTCCTCTTCGTCATCATCATCCTCACCATCATCATCATCAGCATCATCAGCATCATCAGCATCATCAGCATCATCATCATCATCATCATCATCATCATCATCATCATCATCATCATCATCATCATCATCATCATCATCATCATCATCATCATCATCATCTCCCTGTCCCTCGTCATCGTCCTCCATTCCCCTCCTCACTCTCCTCCTTCCCATCCACCTCTCCCCCATGCTCCATACATATCCTTGTCCTCCGCCTCCACCCCTTCCCCAGCCTCCGTAGGTCCTCCTCCTTCTCCGCTGCTTCCCGTCACTCCTCCTCCTCATCCTCCTTCTCCTCCTCCTCCTCCATCCTCCTCCTCGTCCCCCTCGTCCTCCTCCTCCTCCTCCTCCCCACCCTCCCCCTCCTTCTTCTTCTCCTCCTCCTCCTCCTCCTCCTCCTCCTCCTCCTCCTCCTCCTCCTCCTCCTCCTCCTCCTACTCCTATTTCTTTCTCCTCCCCCTCCTTCCTCCACAGGCTGTCCGGCTCGATGGGGCCGCGCTGCCTCTTCCGAAGCGCGTCGTAGAGCAGCAGCGCCCGCTGCCACTGCCGCCCCCTCTCGAGGGCGCTGATGGTGCTGTTGTAGGTGACCTCGGCTAAATCCGAGTGCCCTACTCATCATTCGAGGGTATCATCCTCATCAACCGTGCCTTTTCGTCCTCCCACTTCCTCCGCCGCTGCAGCCGCCTCCTCCTCCTCCTCCTCCTCCTCCTCCTCCTTCTCTCCTCTCCTCGTCCTCCCCTCATCGTCGTTTTCGTCGTGGCCACCACCTCCACCACCGTCGTCATTGCCTCCTCCTCATCTCCTCCTCCTCCCTCCTCCTCCTCCTCCTCATCGCCCTCATCCTCATCATCATCATATCATCATCATCATCATCATCATCATCATCATCATCATCATCATCATCATCATCATCATCATCATCATCATCATCATCATCATCATCATCATCATCATCATCATCAACATCATCAGCATCAGCATCATCATCATCAGCAGCAGCATCATCATGAGCATCATCAGAATCATCATCAGCAGCAGCATCATCACCATCATCATCACCATCATAATCATCATCATGATCATCATGATCATCATCCTCATCATCATCATCATCATCACCATCATCATGACCATCACCATCATCACCATCATAATCATCAGCAGCATCATCATCATCATGGTCATCAGCATCATCATCAGGATAATCATCATCAAGGTCATCATCATCATCAGCATCATCACCCCATCAATCTCACCCTCACCAGAAGCAGCAGAAGCAGCATCATCATCAAGGTCATCATCATCAGCAGCATCACCATCATCACCAGCGTCGTCATCAGCATCATCATTGTCGTCGTCATCGTATTCATCCTCATCATCATCATCATCATCATCATCATCATCATCATCATCATCATCATCAGCATGACCATCACTCTCACCCTCACCAGCAGCAGCAGAAGCAGCATCATCATCCGCATCATCATCGACACCATCATCATCAGCAGCAGCATCAGCATCATCATCATTGTCGTCGTCATCGTATTCATCATCATGGCCATCATCAATATCATCAGCAGCATCGTGATCATGATCATTAGCATCATCAGCACCATCATCATCATCAGCATCATCATCGTCATCATCATCATCATCATCATCATCGGCACCATCATCATTATCATCAACATCATCAGCATCATCATCACCGGCACCATCAGTATCATCCTCACCCTCATCAGCCTCATCGTCATAATCAGTATCATCATCAGCATCATCATAACCAGCAGCAGCAGCATCGTCACATCATCTTCATCACCAGCGTCAGCAACAGCAGAAGCACCATCATCGTCATCATCAATAACAGCATCAACCTAATCATCAGCATCCTAATCATCATCATCATCATCATCATCATCAGCATCATCATCGCCATCGTCATCATCATCATCATCAGCATCATGCCCATCATAGTCGTGGTTGTCGTCGCCGCCACCACAACCAACAACAACACCGTCGTCGTCGTCGTCCACGTGGTCGTCGTCGTAGTCGTTTTCGTCGTCGTCATCATCGTCATCCGCCGCATCATCATGATCATCATCAGCGTCATCATCATCGGCATCATGATAAGCATGACCATCATCATCATGAGCATCAGCATCAGAATCAGCGTCAGCAGCACCAGCGTCATCAACATCAGAATAAACATCACAATCATCAGCACCATCATCATCAGCAGCATCATCCTGATCCACCTCATCATCATCAACGCCGTCCGCATCAGCATCATCAGCATCGTCATCGTCATCACCAGAATCATCATCATAATCGTCATCATCATCACGTGCAGCGTCATCACCGGCAACCAGATCATCCGCATCAGCATCAACATTCATTCATCGTCAGCAGCATCATCATCGTCAGCATCATCATCATCATCATCATCATCATCATCATCATCATCATCATCATCATTATCAGTTTCATCATCATCATCATCATCATCATCATCCTCAATCTCAACATTGCCGTCGTCGTCGCCACCACCACCAACGACACCATCGACGTCGTCCTCGACGAAGTCGTAGTGGTAGTCGCTGCCGTCGTCGTCATCGTCGTCATCGGCCTCCTCCTCCTCATCATCAACATCATCATCATCAGTATCATCATCATCAGCAGCAGCAGCATCGTTATCATTATCAGCATCATCATTATCATCATCAGCGACATCATCATCATCGTCATCATCGTCATCATCAGCAGCAGCATCGTCATCATCATCAGCATCATCATTATCATCATCAGCGCCATCATCATCATCATCATCATCATCATCATCATCATCAGCATCGTCATCATCATCATTATCATCATAGAAGCATCATCATCCGCAGCATTATCATCAACCCCATCGCCGTCGACGTCGTCGTCGTGACCAGCACCACCAACGTCGTCGTCGTTGCCTTCGTCATTTTGATCGTCAGCATCAGCATCAGCAACAGCATCATCATCAACGCCGTCCACATCCGCATCGTCAGCATCGTCATCGTCATCATCATCAGCATCATCAGCATCATCACCACCAGAATCATCAGCATCATCATCACGTGCATCGTCATCAGCAGCATCAGGATCATAGGCATCAACATCATCAATATTTCATCGTCAGCAGCAAAAGCATCCTCATCATCCTCATCATCATCATCAGCGTCATCATCAGCATCATAATCATCATTATCATCATCATCATCAGCATCATCAGCCTCAGCATTGTCGTCGTCGTCGTCGCAACCACCACCAACGACACCGTCGTCGTCGCCCTCGACGACGTCGTCGTGGTAGTCGCTGCCGTCGTCGTCATCCTCGTCATCGGCCTCATCCTCCCCCTCCTCCTCCTCCTCCTCCTCCTCCTCATCATCATCATCACCATCACCATCACCAGTATCATCAGCACCACCATCATCAGCATCAGCATCATAATCATCAGCATCGTCATCAGCATCAGCATGATCATCCTCATCAGCAACATCAGCATCAGCATCATCATCATCAGCAGCATCAGCATCACCATCATCACCATCATCATCATAATCAGCATCATCAGCATCATCATCAGCATCATCAGCATCATCATCACCATCTTCATCATCACCATCATAATCAACATCAGCATGATCATCATGATCAGCATCCTCAGCATCATCAGCATCAGCATCATAATCATCAGCATCGTCATCAGCATCAGCATCATCGTCCTCATCAACAACATCAACATCAGCACCAGCATCACCATCAGCAGCAGCAACAGCATCATGATCATCAGCAGAATCATCATCATCGTCATCAGCATCAGCATCCTCATCATCATCGTCACCGTTATCGTCATCACCATAATCATCATCACCGCCATCGGCAGCAGCATCATCCTCGTCATTACCATATTCGTCGTCGTTAGCGGCGTCGCCGTCGTCCAACGCCACCAACAACACTGTCGTCATCGTCCACGTGGTCGTCGTCGATGGTGTCGTCATCATCACAAGCAGCATCTTCATAATCATCAGCACCATCATCATCACCATCATCAACAGCATCATCATCATCATCATCATCATCATCATCATCATCATCATCATCAGTGCCGTCATCGTCGTCTCCACCAGCATCGTCGTCATCGTCTCAGCAATGCCGGCATCGTTACCGTCGTCAGCATCAGCATCAGAATCCTCCGCATCGCCATCAGCATGATCATCCTCATCATCAGCATCAGCAGCATCATCATCAGCATCTGCATCATCAGCAGCATCCGCATCATCATCATCATCATCATCATCATCATCATCATCATCATCAGCATCATCACTATCATCATCAGCAGACTCGTCATCGACATCGGCGGCGGCTGCCTCGGCGTCGTCGGTCGGTCCATCGGCCGTGCTCGACGTCGGTCGGCGAGTCGGTCGGCCGGTCGGTCGTTCCGTCGACCGATCGTCGTCGTCGACCGATCGATTGATCGTCAGTCTTCTCGTCGGTCGGTCAGTCGGTCAGTCGGCTGGTGGGCGTCGTCGTCGTCGTCGTCACCACCACCACCACCACCATCACATTCATCATTACCATATCCGTTCCGTTCTCCTCATGGTCCTCATCCTTCCCCCCTCCTCCTCCTCCTCCTCCTCCTCTTCCTCCTCCTCCTCATCAGCATCATCACCATCATCATCATCAGCAGCATCATCATCATTAGCATCATCGTCTGCATCAGCATCATCATCAGCAGCATCATCATCCAGCTTCTCATAATCCTTCCCCTCCATCGTCCTCCCACCTCCACCTCCTTCCCCCCTCCTGCCCCTCCTCCTACTCCTTATCCGCCGCCTGCCCCTCTTGTCCTGGCCTACCCCCCGCGCATGTCTCGGCCCAAGAGAAGAAGTTCAAGAGAGGGACCGCCGATTCTAGCTGGCTCCAGCCCTGGGGGGGAAGGGGGGGAAGGGGGGTGGCAGGGTCTGGGGAGAGGGGTGTGGGAGGGGGGAGAAGGGGAAGGAGGGGGAGCGAGAGAGGAGGGAAAGAGAAGGGGAAGGGGGGGGGGGGGCGAGGCGAGGGGGAAGCGGGGAGGAGGGGAGGACGGGCGGAGGAGACAGTGGGCTAGGGGGGGGGGGGGCAATGGGAGGGGCGGGGGGCGGAGGGGGGGGGGGGATGAGAGGGGGGAGGAGGCGGGAAGGCGGGGGGGGGAGGGGGGCGGAGGGGGAGGAGGGCGAGAGGTGAAAGGTAAGCTGGGTGCGCTCGCGACACATTCCCTCCCTCCTCCCTTCTTCATCCCTTCCGATTGCGTTGATGTGTGCTCTGTCCGGGACGCGCGTCATAGCCGACCTGGAATGGGAAAAAGGCGGAGGGGCAACAAAAAGAAAGATGTGGAGGGCCATCACGCGGAGGAGGATCGAGGATTGAGGAGGAGTATCGAGGATCGGGGAGGGGGATAGAGCATCGAGGACGAGAATCGAGGATCGAGGGATGACGATCGAAGAGGATGATCGAGGAGGGGTCTCAGGAGGGGGGGAGGGCAGGGGGGGGGGGCAGGGGAGGTGGGAAAGATGGGGGGGGGCGGAGAGCGGAGGGCAGAGCAGAGCGGAGGCAGGGGCGAGGAGGCGCGAGAGGGCCCCTTCTACAGCAAGGATGCGCGGTGAGGACACAAACGCAGAAGGCGAGGAGGAGGAGGAGGAGGAGGAGGAGGAGGAGGAGGAGGAGGAGGAGGGGGAGGAGGAGAAGGAGGAGGAGGAGGAGGAGGAGGTGGAGGAGGAGAGGCCTCAGACCACTCCCTGGACACCATCACCCCTCCCTGTCCGGGGCCATCCTGGGCCCTGGCATGGCGAAAAGGCCTCCTCCTGGCCGAGGCCAGAGGGGTCTGTACACCGTCGTGGAGCCCAGGGTGGCCCTGGCCGGTGGGCACGGCGGTGGTGCGAAGATGGCAGCTGCGGAGTACAAGCCCCTCGGACGCCCATGCCGAAGCTGTTCCAGCGGGGCGGGCCATCGAAAGTGGTCAAGGATGGACCATATGGGGCAAGGGCGCAGGGGTACCCTTGAGAAGGTTGCTCATCCTTACCATCGGTTTCGACTGTACCCTCTCTGCTTCGCGAGACTGCTCAGGGGAAGGCTCGGGAGAAGGTCGAAAGCTACGCAACAAAAAACGAGCAAACAAAAAACACGATCGTGGGGAGAGCGAGGGAAAGCAAAAGGTACCGACACGGCTATTCCTCAGGCCTCCCAGGAGGAGGAGGAGTACCGACACGGCTATTCCTCAGGCCTCCCAGGAGGAGGAGGAGGAGGAGGAGGAGGAGGAGGAGTAGGAGGAGGACTGGAGGCTTGGTGGGAGGAGGAGGAAGGAGGGGGAGGAGGTAGGAGGGAGGAGGAGGAGGAGGAGGAGGAGGAGGAGGAGGAGGAGGTGGAGGAGGAGAGGCCTCAGACCACTCCCAGGGGTGAGTCCTGGCCAGAACCTCGAGGCGAACCCCGCGGTGGCGAGGAGGGCCTCCCAGGAGGCACCCAAGAGGCGAAAACGAGACGAGGGTAGCGCCACCGGTGCCTTTCTCTCTCTTTCTCTCTCTCTCTCTCTCTCTTTCTCTCTCTCTCTCTCTCTCTCTCTCGGAGGAGGAGGAGGAGGAGGAGGAGGAGGAGGAGGAGGAGGAGGAGGAGGAGGAGGAGGGGAGGAGGAGGTAGGAGGAGAGGAGGAGGAGGAGGAGGACGAGGAGGAGGAGGACGGGGTAGGAGAGGACTCGGGTTCGGGGGACTCGGGTTGGCCTGACGGGGCCATCAAGAGAATGGCGAGACCTACCCTGAAATCTGGCGCAAGCTTTGTGGATGCCAAGACAATGGACACCCTAACAGTCAGACCCTTGAACTTAAATGTGTTTAAAATGTCGGAAAAATGTTCTGAAGAACATATGTTAAGCTTGTGTTCTGCATGCTTAAAAACATGTTCAACACACGTTTTCGACGTCTGGGAACTATTTGGCGGCATGCTTCCTCTCGACTGATCGTCCTCCACAACGCAAGCTCCCCCTGCACACATCCCACGAAAACTGGGTTGTCAACGCCCCGGGGCGGGCCCGCCAGAAAACCAGCCAGGGCGAGCCCGAAACATGCTCCGGCGTGCTCCCGAGCCGCACGCCTCTCCCCGGGCCGGCTCCGAGGCCCGAGCGGCAGGGGGCACTCGGAGATCCGCGCCGCTGTCTCGGGTGTGCGCTGGCCCTCGCGTCCCTGGCGCGCGACGTGTGCGCCGCCAGGCCGGGGGCTGCCACAGGAGCCCCCGGCCAGACGTGCCCCCCACCTGTCGCTCCATGGTGGAGCCCCTGGAGCCCTCCGGGCCTCGTGAGGGGGTGCTCTGGAGGCCGCGGGGGGGCTCCCTTGAATGACTGCCTACCAAACCACCCCAGCCCAACCCGAAGGCCCGAATTTCGCCCGAATTTCGGGTTGGGGGGGGGGTACGGGCTCCATGTGTTTTTTCAATGTTCCCCGACCCCCCCCCCCCACACTGGAAGTGGGGGACAAATTGAGGCCTTCGGGTTGGGTTGGGGTGGTCTGGTGGGTGGTGAGAGAAAGCCTTCTCAGACGGCCGCGGGACTTCTCAGAAGCCGTCGCGCCTTCTGAAAAGTTCTGTGCCTTCGGGGAAGGCTCAGAAAACTTCGCAGAAGGCCGGGGGGCTTCCGAGCCTTCTGAGAAGGCCCGCCCCTTCTCCCTTCCCCCCCGCGCTCGCCCCCAATCCCAGACCCCCGACGTCGTGTTTTTTTCACCAAGTCGACCCCCAGAGGTGTCTGGACCCCTCCTGAGTCGTTTTTCGGTGCTCCCGAGGCCTGGCAAGGCCCCCCGGAGGCCGAAAATAGCGAAAAACCTTCCGTCGTGATTCTTTCAAAACGCGAGGCCTGCTCCCTCTCACTTCCCCCCCTCGCTCGCCGCCGAGATCAAGCCCAGAACAGGCCGATGCCGAACATCGGCATCCGCGGCGGAGGGGCGACGGCAGACCAGGCCCCAGCGCGCCCCCCCCTGCGGTGGCGCCGCTGAGCGAGCGCGACCAGGTCGGGCTCGGGCCCGGCGGCCTCGGCACGACGACGCCGACGCCGACGCCGACGACGACGCCGACGCCGACGCCGACGCCGACGCCGACGACGACGACGACAACGTTGGCGTCGGCTAGTGGCGACGGCGACGCGGATGGTGGTGGTGACGACGACGACGACGACGACGACGACGACGACGAGGACGACGGCGACAACGACATCCTTCAGGTCGGAGTCCTCCTTCTCCTACCCAGTACCGTCTTATTCCTGCTCCATTCCTTTTCCTTATAAATGATTCCTCCTTGTCGCAAATAATTCCTCCCTGTCGCACCCCGAGGCCGGTCGAAAGGGGGGGGCTGGGCTTTTCGCCTGAAACGTCCTGACCATTTATGACCCTGATGTGTAAACATTGACAACAATCTCACAGATGGAGGGTGGGTCGTTCTCGAAATGTGGCTCTCGCCTTCGCACCGCGCGAATCCGTTCTTAAAATTGCAAAATTGCAAGAGTTTCTCGGATTGAAGGCGGGTCGTTTTAAAATGTGGTTCTCGCCTTAGCGCCGCGCATTCGTTTTCAAAAAAGCAAAACTGCAAGAGCTTCACGGGTTGAGGGCGGGTCGTTAAAATGTGGTTCTCGCCTTAGCGCCGCGCGCTTGAGGTCGGGTCGTTTTCTAAATGTGGTTCTCGCCTTAGCGCCGCGCACATTCGTTTTAAATAATTGCAAGAGTTTCACGGGTTCCCATGGTCAACGTACTAGAAATGGTGCTTCGGAAAGATTCAGGATTATGAGGGTGCAGCAATTACGTTGGTTCGCGGTGTTGAAGTCCCAAGGATGGCGTCCTGGCACGAATCAGGATCGTCAAGACGCAACAGTCAGGTTGATCCGTGGCGTTGGAATCCCGAGAACAATGCTGCGGCAAGCTTCAGGCCTTCAAACGTTGTCTTCCAACGAGGTAGTTCCCGCAGTGGAAATGAACTGTTGGAGGGGCCTATGAAGCGGGACTTTGGAGGGAGGGTTTACTCCAACATCGTTGATGGCCCTTGGGTTCACACTGGTCCTCCTCCTCCTCCTCCTCCTCTTCCTCCTCCTCCTCCTCTTTCTCCTCCTCCTCCCCCCTCCTTTTGTCGTTGTCGCTGTGGGTCCGCCTGGTAGACACCTGGGACACTCGTTGCCGGAGGACGGGAGTCCAAGGTGTTGGAGAACGGTTGTCCAACTCCTTGTCTTCCGCCCTCTTCACCGTGATGGGTGGCAAGGGCATGCCCACCCGACGCCGACGTCGACGACGACGACGACGACGACGACGCCGACGCCGACGACGACAATGACGACGCCGACGCCGACGCCGACGCCGACGACGACGACGACGACGACGACGCCGACGCCGACGCCGACGCCGACGCCGACGCCGACGCCGACGCCGACGCCGACGACGACGACGACG